AAGAGCTTGTAGCCATCCATTGCAGCACTCCAGTTGTGTGAGTCATCCCACCATGTTTCCGTGATGGTGACCACAGCATAGTTTTCCTGCCGCGCAATGGCTTCCAGCTCCTCCTGCTTATTGCCCATGCTGTGTGCGTTGGTGTAAATGCACTTCAGCTGGGCTATTGATCTCTTCTCCAACACAGGCATGCCACCCCTAGGCTCATCCCTAGCAAGCCTGGTTTTATCCCCTTCCCCCTTTGAATCTAGTTCAAAGCTTTCTCAATGAGGCCTTTGAATTGGTATTCTTACTTAAATGTGCTTTTCTTCCTGTTTTAAATTATAGTTATGTAAGTGACTTACCTAAGAGATTGGCCACTAGCCAATAGATTATTTTATCAAATTAAAAAAATAATCTCAAGTTCTCATGCCTTAGGTTTTGCAGGTCATCTCCCAGTGCTTTGTTGCTAGTGCTTAAGATTCTTCAGGCTTTTACATTCGTTGTTACTGACTCTTATTTTGCACTAATGTCCTTTCTGTCTCAGGAGGAGAAAAGAGGCATGGTAGTGTAAAGATGCAACCATGAAATTACTGTCGTGCATAGGTTATCACATGGGATTAGATCTTACATGTATGAGTGTCGGATATGCTTGGAGAGATCATTGCTACCTTTTAAACCTAAAAGACATTCTTCAAAAGGCATGTAGCTACAAAAGTTTTAAGTGTATCCAGAAGTGTGATTGCAAAATTCATCTTTGTCACAGATGGCCAAATTAGGTCCCTCTGAATGGTCCTGTTAGGTCCTTTCCACGGTCCTTGCTCCATGTGCAGTTGAACATGGTCCTGCACATGGATTGGGGCAATCCCAAGCACAAATACAGGCTGGGCGGAGAATGGATTGAGAGCAGCCCTGAGGAGAACGACTTAGGGGTGTTAGTTGATGAGAAGCTCAACATGATCCAGTAATGTGCGTTTGCAGCCCAGAAAGCCAACCGTATCCTAGGCTGCATCAAAAGAAGTGTGGCCAGCAGGTCCAGGGAGGGGATTCTTCTCCCTCTGCTCTGCTCTGCTGAGACCCCACCTGGAGTACTGCATTCAGCTCTGGGACCCCCAACATAAGAAGGACATGGACCTGTTGGAGCAGGTCCAGAGGAGGGCCGTGAAGATGATCTGAGGGCTGGTGCACCTCTGCTATGAAGACAGGCTGACAGAGTTCGGGTTGTTCATCCTGGAGAAGAGGAGGCTCTG